CGCCCGGTCATCCTCTACCCGCCTATTCCAGCAAACAAGTTCGAGATCAAGCCATGCTGGATTCAGCTCATTACATCATCTATCCAGTTCCATGGCTTGAAGGATGAGGAGGCCAGGGTGCATCTTTCCCGTTTTCTGCAGCTGACGAACGGGTTCAAGCTGAATGGTGTCCCGGATGATGCAATCCGCCTTCACCTTTTCCCCCATTCTCTGGCGGGGAATGCTAAGAGGTCGTTGGAGACCCAGCCCCCATTGTCCATCACCTCTTGGGACGATCTGGCTGACAAATTCGTGCACAGGTACTATCCGGCATCGAAGACTACAGAAATCCAGCGGGAGATCACCCACTTCCGCCAAGAGCCAGATGAGTCACTCCGTGATGCATGGGAGCGGTACATGGGATATTTCTGGCAGTGTCCCAATCATGGCTTTAGTGATGCATTCACAGTGGGGAACTTCTACAGTGCTCTCTCCCCAGATAGCCAGAGGGTGATTGAGTCTCTACGCCCAGGAGGGGATATTCTTACTAAGACTCCACCCGAGCTGAACCAGATGATCAGTACTTTGGCTGCCACAGATCATTCTTGGGGACAGGGTAGCCGAGGCAGAGAGTCCCGGGACCGTGGTGTGCACGCAAAGGATATGCCTTTGATTCTAGGTAGACCATTTCTTGCCACCGCCAAGGCACTTATTGATGTGCATGATGGTAAACTGATACTGCGTGCTGGGAATGAACAGGCTACTTTCTCTGTGACTGAATTTGATCACTGTGCTATGATTGCTGTCACGCCTGTACATGCCATTTCTGATAAGGTACACGAGCCTTTCGTGTATCCTTCTGCACCTCTTATTTTGCAGGACCCTCCTATCATTCCTCCGCCGCCACTCCATCCAGCCTCGCCTCCGAACAAAAAGCTCAAGGAGGAGTGGCGGCCGAAGCAGCAGGTTGCTAAGCCTGCACGGAAGAAGAGTGGAGACCACTATGAGCTGGTCCCACCTCCTGCACCACGACCACCCTGGCCGTCCGGGTACTCACTCGCCTGCATCTTGCTAGATGGGCAGGTCGAGCTGACTGATGATGGTGGTCGCATCCGTCGGGTGCATGGCCACAACCTAAAGCTTTACCTCAAGAGCGACGTGGATCCGCTCTTGGAGGCACCTATTCCTGCACCTCCCTGAGTATCCACCATGGGCGTCCAGCTAAAAGACGGTAAAGCGGTTGTGGGGAGGCAACCCCACCACGGTTTGACTTTCTTTCTTGTGTTTTGAGTCGGATTGTAAACATGTTTGATTTTGGTTTGTTTTCTTTTGTTTTGGATGATGTCTTATTGGGCTGACATTGGACCTAACATACTGTGTTTGAGCTCTTCTGTTCCCCTTTAGCTGTGCTTTGTTTCAGACTGGTCCTCTATCCAGTCCGCTTCACTCCGACTGGTCCGCTTCCAGTCTCCTGCAGTCCGTGCATACCGGTAACATCGTTCCCCTTTTCCTCTTCTCCATTGAGGGCAATGTCGATCTTAAGTGTGGGGGGATGTTTATCTTTTGACTGCATTAGATCTGTTTGTGTGCTTGGAGCCTAGTCCACTGTCCAAATTTTTAAATTTGAGGGCTCTAAGTATGTGTTCCGTGCAATTGCCTGCTCAGTATGCTTTGAATTGACAGTCTTTATAGTAATATGCAACCTGGGGAGGTAGTGTAGCACTATGACGGATGTTGATGCATTTAAGAAGTCTCATTGCTTCTTCATATTGTGTTGGTTGATTGAGTGAATTAATGATCTTAGGACGCTTGAATTGTGTGGTGTTGTGGACTCTCTGCCTGTCATGGACTCTTGTATCATGTTTTGAGTTAACAGGTGCTCGAAAATGTGCTTCAAAATAACGTCTCCCGTGCGAATAGGGCGTAAGTGTGTAAGGGGAGACGGGAATCCGTTCCCAATTTCCACCTACTACCTCCAGCCCCCTTACATGTCTTTCCCCCGCACGAGGCTCGAGACATCCGCTCCTGGCATGGCCGGTAAGAGCCGGTTGGGACGATTGAAAAAAGAAAAAATAACAGAAAACCAGCAAAACAGAAAGAAAAGGGGTTCCAACCATCTTCAAGAAGAAAATAGAGCACCTTGAAAAATGTGAGTCCATGATCCTTTGTTTTTGAGAATCTCTTCATCCACAATTCATTTGTCCTCTGTTCACTATTTGCCATGATGCCGACTCGATACTAGTGCTCTCGCCGAAGAAGCTATGAGATGACTTGTGCGTCGGTTGACCTCGTAAGCTGCTAAATGATCTAGGAAGTCCTCTACCTACGATCTGGGGTGTTTGTTGCTATAGAGGTCTGGAGAGTTGCATTGGTTTGAGTTAGGTTTGCTTGGGGACAAGCAAACGGTTAAGTGTGGGGGAGTTTGATAGACCGTTAATTACACATGTTTTCACCACTGTTCTTACACCGTTTAAGATGTGGTTTCTCGTGTTTTAGACCGATTTCACGCTAGGTTGTGCTTGTTTGTGATATTTCAGGTCCTGGCGAGTGAATGAAGGTTTAGGAGCGAGTTCGGGGTCGATTGGGCGAAGATCGGGCGCGAGGCAAGTCACAAAGGAAGTCGCACGGGCACACCCACAACCCACACGGCCGTGCAAGTGACCAGTTTGGCCGTGTGGGATTGTGCGAGAGCAAACACGGGCATATTAGAAAATCCACACGGCCGTGTGAGGACGCATTTTGGCCGTGTGGAATTCTGCGAGGCTTCACACGGCCAGGTTGGGTGAGCTACACGGCCGTGTGACCCTGGCCGTGTAAGAAGCTTGGAATTCAACTAATTGATGCGCTGCGTTTTGACTCACACGGGCAACTGGGTGAGCCACACGGCCGTGCGGCCTGCCCGTGTGAGTCGGGATTTTCTGGTTTTAAGTCAATTTCCATCCACAAGTCGAGGGGATTTGGGTTTTAGAGAGACAGAGCGATTCCTAGAGAGAGAAAGCGACGAACAAGAGTCTCCAAGTGCCCTAGCTTGATCTTCATCACCATTGGAGGCCAGCTTGAGCTTGGAGAAGTGCCGATCAACGTCCAGGAGCAGGAATCCATCCTTCACAGTATGAATTCCGCGTCTGATTCTGCTTTTGCTTCTTTCTCCATGGAGTAGTTCTCCCATTCATCTGGGTATGGAGAACCCTAGATTTGTATGTTAGGTTTTGATTGTATGAACCCAAGTACTGATTCTATGATTTGATTATATTCAATTGAGGTTTGATTGATTGAATGGCATGAATCCTGATCAAATTCCTGTTGTTTCTGCTTTAACCTAGAATGAGAATATCTGCCTAGGTTGATAGAGCATCCTTGATTGAAGGTAGGGAGTTGGTGACTTTAGTCGAGGAGCCAACTCACTATTCTGTACCGGATTTACTCCGGTAGTGGAAGTTTTGTTTGTTAAGGCCTCAATCTGTTTACTCCGGTGGAGGTTAGTCGCCCGCTAGAGATTCAGATTGAGAGGGTCTGAAGACCTTTAGTCGAGACTTCAGGCTGTTTAAGAACCTTCCGCAGTATAACTATCATAGAAACTAAAGTTGGTAATTACAATCCGGCTTAACTGCAGTCTAGGGGGAACCATATCCGGGTGACCTCTCTTAACCTGAATACAACAGTTTACTTGCTTTGTTAGTTTGTTAGTTTAGACTTGCATTAAAGTTTCATTGCTAGATAACAAGAATTCACTGAGTAGTCATCAAATCTAGGACCCGGGTTGATAATTAAACCCAAACCCGCTATACTACGCTTTAGGAAGTGGTTTCACTTGGCCAATTCCTGGAGTGACAGTAAAAGTGAGTCATGGTTCTGCCAAACTATTAATGTTATGGTTGGACGTTTGACTCTTTTTGTCACTGTCTATGATACTTTTTATTAGGTGTCAGACATTTTAGTTTTTCTCCTCATGGCTCCTCCACTGATCATATTAGTTTCTAGCGTTTGTCTCTTGAATTTTTTTTGTACGTCCTTTTGTAAGCTTTTTACATGTTTTGAGTTTCTCTCCTTATCCCCCGTAATCAACATAACCTAACACTTAGTTAGAAGTAACAATTTTAGTTAACAATTCATCTCCACTGCGAAATAAAGGCCGACTGGAAAGTTCAAACTTGGTTCCTTATTCCCTTTCGAATCTCAAACATAACCTGACTCTCAAATCCACATGTGTAAACCTTTATAATTCAGTTTTGTATCTTGTGTATATTACCTAACAAGCAAAAAAGAGGGAAAACAAAATTCTATTGTGCCTCATGGACCATTAGTAGTAGGCCACATTCTTATTCTAAGAAGTCGCTGCCCATCAACTTTTTCATATAATACAAAAGCCAAGAAAAATGAGCATTCCACGTAACTAATCTTGTTTGGTTTTCCTCATCGTTTTTATTTATGGAGTTGAGGTTAGGCAAAGCGATTAAGACAGGAAATGGAATAGAACGTAACGAGGTTGAACAACTTGTTGTTATAAGAATTCACCAAACGGAAAATATATAAGTACAATAAAAAGATGATTTTGTGGAGAAAGTAAAGGCAAAACCTCGGGCCTCAGTTTTCAGTTTGCAAAGTGGAAAATATATAGAATTCTACTTGTAACTAGGTCGTAATTGTTAGTACATGGTAATTATGGTATTATATTTGTAAAGAAAATTCTCCAAACAACTCTATTTATTGAAAGTAATTAGTTTTTATACACATTATTAGAGTTTTTGCTGATCAAGAAATTATGTGTTCGAATTCTAGTATCTCTCATTTGTTAAGCACATGACATTCAAACCTGTTGAACATTAACAAAATAGACAGATGTCTTTTTAGAGTAGCTATATATTTCACATATTAAGAAGTGTTACGACTTATCAAAAAGAGATATAAAAATTAGGATGACAACTCAAGTACAACATTTGGATTAACAATATTACTAATTATGGTGGATATGGCACATCGAACCTGAAGCAAACTTCAAGTAAAAGGAACATCACAGTAAATCTAATCCAACTAATTTATCGTTCCTAATGACAACTTGAAGATTCTAATGCCAGGGGAACTAGTCACAATTGTCATCTGATTGATCCAGAAGTTACAGAAGCTTCCCCTTCAGCTTAAGGGAATTCAAAACAAACAATTTTGATAAAAGGCATTACAATGCAAAGTTAGAGAACTTGGTCGAAGAGGAAAGACGTCTCCTCCCACACCTCTTGTCCCTCCCATACAACACCCCACATCTCGTGGAATCCTAACCACATTTGGATTAACATAAATACACTAGTAACCTACCAACAACAACAGACATAGCACTTAACCCCATCCCCTTTCTCAAATTCTCTTCCTTTTCTTTCCAATTTCTGTATCTCCCCCTCTATTCACAAGCCAGCTTAGTATCAAAGCTGCTCAAGCATATGGCGAAAGCTTGAAAAGCAGACAGCGGATACCGATAATCCATAGTGAACATATCCTTCCCAACCTTACCAAACTGCAGAATAATCTTATCATGATCAGACTGTGGCGGCGGCTGTGAAGGTGTTGGCGCACCTGCAGCTGGCTGATTCGCAGCTATCAGCTGGAAATTCTTCACTGATGCCACAGTGACTCGGCCACGGAAGTTCAGGCACCAGCATTGCAACTGCTCGTGCCACCTTGGAGCCTTGTTACGCAGAATCAGCGGGCAGTTGTCTTTCCCTTCCCCTTCCACGTCATCATCTCCTCCCCCTCGTGGTGGCCCTGCCGCAACATCGAAGAACCTTGAGCTGCTGAACTCGGACGACAACGAGACACTTCGGAACGAATCCTCGAGGGACCGAGGGAGCAGGATCTCAGGTTGACCAGGGACTGAACCACCAGTTTCCAGTGATGAAGTGGGGATTGAGTGCATGGTACAGTGCATCCTGCGCGGCCCCCGGGTGCCAAGCACATTGAGCTCATAGGAGATCTGCGCGATGTTGTAGCTTCCTGTAGGGACCTTAGGGGAGACTTTCTTGGAGTAGAATCTTCTGCTTCGACCCGGTGGTGAGATTTGAGCGTTATTGTAGGGTGGCTGAGTGTCGTAGATAATGAATCTTGTGCCTAGGAAATTTGACCTGGAAAGGAAGCGAAGCTTTGATATGAGTTTTAAGATATAAAGCATTTGCTGAGGGACCAAAAACCTTCATTGGTATGATTATGATAATAATATATTCCTCTAGATAGAAAGCCACCATAGATTAACCATCACATATTCAAATTACTTTCTTTCCCTAGATTAAGAGCCAGTTCACAATGACACGAATTTTACCTTAGCTTTCCAATATATGTTCCACTTGATCTTGATATGTTATCGGCGTCAATGGAGATTATGTACTCCGTGCAAGTAGTTCTTCTGGTCCGTTTAGCAGAGAGAAGAAACTTGCCATTTTCAACAAGTAAAGCTGAAAAGGAACAGCGAGGTAAAGTTGGTTATGTCCAGATCAAGAACCTCATACAGAATATAGTGGAGCTTCAGAAAGGAAGGTAATCCGATGAAACATTCCATCCATAAATAAACATATATCAAACAGAAGACGACTTTTACGTATAAGTACACAGTCCACTCTCAGTAAGGATCAAATGAAGGCTAGCTACTGAAGAAGCATGGGAGTCGCAGAGTGATCATTTTTGCACGAATTTGAGAGGCGGAGAGCTAACAGTGAGCTCAAAATGCCTACAAGCTATTGGATTATTTTTTATCAGAGGGGTTATATAAGAAAGAAAACCAGAAGCGAGAAGAAAAGAGAGAAAAGGTAAAAAAACACAGCAGCACTTAAGACCCCCAATCACATGAGAAGAAAAAGAAAACAAAACAGAGAAAAATCACACCACGGGCAGTATGATACGGTACTGAAGCTCTTGAAAGGTAGTTTCTATTTTACTTTTATGGGGCGGAGCTAGGTAAATGAATATGCATCGACCGAAAGATAGTTAATCTTGCTAGGGGAAGCAGCTATCGGATTATCCCTACAGCAATATGCTACCATTAATTATGGTACAGCACTGGAATGATGTAGCTGTGTAAAACACATAACTCAAGGTGTGTCATACCATGATAATGGAGAGCAGTCACCACTTTGTACCGCAATCAGACATCACAGGACACAAAGAACAATAGATGAAGAAGCTAACTCTACTAGATTCAAAAGGTAATACAAAAGGAAAGGAAGTTAAGAAAAGAGAAGCTTACCAGGGCTCAGGCAAAGGAAAAGATGGTAAGTTAACTTGGACTTGTCTCTCTTAATGAAACACTGGATAGGCCCATCCCTGTGCCCTGGCTGCAATTAACAAGAACAGTAAGTATGACATTAAGAGCTTGTTGTTAGGTTATGAAGTAGCTTACTTGGAAAGCAGTTACTCTAACGATAAAAATAAGCCAACATATGGAAAATGATCTCTGTACCTGTTTCAAGGAAACTGGGAAAGTGATCTTCCCAGAGAACTCGGGATTCCTAACAATTTCTTTACACATTTCTCGCCACGCCCTGCAAACAGCAGCACATGCAACAACATGTTTACGAGCAGGCCAAGTGCCCTCGCTTGTTTCCAACCTCTTGATGACATCACGCAACAACTCTGGCGGCAGACTAGCCCAACGGCTGCTCTGGACGACAACTGCCGGCTGGTCATGTGAGTCATCAGTAACTGAGCCATGGGATTTCCCTCTGTGATGATGACCTGGCAGCCTTACATCGAAACTCCGTCTCGATAAGCTCCCAAACCCATCCCTCACATCACGAACTATACTACGGAATGACATCACACTGAGGCTGGCAATTTCCAAGTTCCCAACTCAGACAACTCCTTAAATAAGTTTCTAAAAATAGAATTGCGGTCGGTTTGATCAGCGATCATGCGCCAGGACAAATTGAGCAGAGCTGCGAATCAACAAAAAACTAGTTTCAGATTTATGTGTGTATCCTTAACAAGCAAGAAAGAATTGGGGTGGTGGAGGGGGTGACAAATGAAGGGCAAAGCAGAAAGCAAGTAAAAGAAGATACCCCATCAGACAAAAGGCTCACATGGACACACTAAAGGATTTAAAATACCTAACTTTATCAAACACGTCTTTTGGCAGAGTTTGGAAACCCAGTTGGAACTAATTATTCAAATCAAAACTTCATACTAAGTGCATCTATATTCAAATTAAGAATGTGCAATAAAATGAAAAAGCAACAATAAGCATGGGTGGACTATACAAACCATGATCCACTTTAGATTCCAAAATGGTAAAACCTTAGCTAGCTAGCTAGTTCGAAAATTATATCCAGATGATCAATCGATCAATCTGCAAACAAAACCCCAATTGACATGATTCTAACCTTAGCCTGGATCACCCTGATGTCAACTGCTTAGCCTTGAACTAAACTAGCATTTCTATAGGCCAGCAGGAATGAACTATATAGTAAATAGTCTCTCATTCAAGAAACACAGATACAAAGTTCCATACTTAAGCTTATTCAATACATCGAAGCCTCAAATGGAAACAAACCCAGTGCCCGAAAAGGGAAACAGGATTCAAAATCCCAACCCAGAAATGTCAGGAACCACCAAATACCTGCAAATTTGACCAGCAAGACCAGAACAAAGACAGGCTAGAAGAATTTACTTCCACGATGACCACAAAGCTTGGTGCTTGACAAGCAGTTGACATCACAATCATTCATCATAGACGCAGAAATCAAACATGGAAATAGGCCTACTTTCAAGAACCAAACAGCGGAGCAAGGAACACTTACGGAGAAAAGGAGATCTAACCCAGAATGAACCAAATCCAGAAGAGAACAATGAACTGCCGCCAGCAACTACAAGGTTTATCCAAGAGGACCAAGACCCGGAAAAACTGGGAGGAAATTCTCGAGAAACAAGCAGAAATCCAGAGGGTGGGAAGAGGGGGAGCCAAAAGAAACGAGATCTAACCCAAAAGTAAAAGAGGGAAGAAAAGCAAAAGCAGAGAGAGAAAGAGATGAACAAGCGAAGAAAACAATAGATAGGCCAACACCCACCTCGATCTTCCTCTCCTTTTTGCCCTTTGTCAGATCTCTCCCTCTCTCTCTCTATATTACTTTACCCGTCTCTCTCCAGTTCTGTCTCTTCTCTTCTCCTGTTTTCTCTCTCTAGAAACAACTGCTCCCCCCGCGGCCTTCAGCGCAGCTTTAAATCCACTGTACCACCATCCATTAATTAACAAGTAGTAAACAAAGCTCACCAACTAGTGTTTAACGCCATCTCTATTTGTTTTTTGTTTTCCTTTTCACTTTGAAGTATTTGTTTGGTAAAAGTATGCTTTAAATTAAGTGAAGTTGAACGTGTCCTTTGAGTTCATTACAAGTTCCCTTTAAAAACAGTTCATTACAAGTTCAAAAGAAATTTAAAACGACTCATTACTTGCTTGTGATGATCGATCATGTGACCAATTTGTGATAAATTCTTATCTTTGGTTTTTGGAATGTTCAAACTCTAAAAAAAATTACATTTTGTATCACAATGTTTATCATAATTTAGGTTGTTTTGGTGTTGTAAGAAATGTAACAATGATACCACTTGATATAAGAACCATCATTTGCACTTTATTCTCGTCTAGAATAAAATTCCCAATGACCTCACAAAACCTTACATTGGTAGCAGAACAATTCAATTGGCTGATGATTCGCACACTCAATATAAGATTCGATCAAAACATGTTCCATCAGACAACAATTATCTTGAGGAATGAGATGTAAAGACAATTTTTATTAACTACGAAGATTCACTCATAATGTATGTTGTTATCATGCATTTATATTTTCACGTGACTTATAACATCAAACATATCATAGTAAGCCCGATTATAATTACTAATAACCTTCCATATTATATATGATCTTTCAAATAATCTTATTTGACGCCTCATCCAAGCCTAAAATGTTTGTATCACTAGGTCCCTATGTAACTAACAAGTAATCCCAAATCTAACCTACACAGGATAGCTAGAAAGATACAAGTCGTACTAATTAGGTACAAAAAGGCACGTAGTGGTTCTGACTTCTACTCGGTAGCGGATTCTCACCCCTAGGAAGAATTTTTTTTTTTTTTTTATCGAACCCAATAGTAGTTTGAGCTTTAGGGAAATGAAACAAAATAAATGATAGTTCCTATGGTTCAAATTCGAGACACTAAAATTGCGGAAAAAAACATTATTATTATATAATTATGCCGCAAGCAACCAAAATTTTGGTTACTGTTCCTTACGAAAAAATAGCACAACCGGGTTACTGTTCATTTAATAATTAGGCGATGTCCAAGGGCCGCTGTTTCACTGCAGTCACGTCTATTATTAGTTTTAACTTTGAACAACCAATCTCATTTTTAAACTACCAATCCTCCATTCCCTAAGCCACGCTGGGTAGAAAAAGATACTCTGCCAAAATATCAGTTTCATTTTTTTTTTCATTGATGAGAATTGAGGGTGATATAAGCAACTTTTCCTACAACTTTGTAGAAATTGTTTATTTTATGGTCATTATATTTCATCAAATACAGAAAACAGAAAAACATCAATGGTATGTACAAGTATGTAGTAACACTTTCGATTAATCTCACATCTACAAAGTACGGGCCAGATTCATAGATCATAAGAAACAATCTGATTTCATTGTATTGATTGAGCAAAATGTATTATGAAAATTTATTGTAATGATTAAAACACTACGCAAAAATTTTGGAAGGATAGTTATTTCATGATTAAGACACTATTTAAAGTTTATGAAGGGATAATAATTTCTTATATAGCGATTAGACAAACAAATTAAGTAAGTCTACGTAGTATAAGTTTGAACGAAAGTTTCTTTACTATTAACAAAACTGTTAATCTCTTCTTATCAATGAAATGTACAAGTATGTAGTAACACTTTAGATAAATCTCACATTTACAAAGTACGTTCGAGATTCATAGATCATAATAAACAATTTAATTTCAGTGTGTTAATTGAGCAAAATGTATTACGGATTTTTTTTTTTTTTTTTGTAATGATTAAGACAGTATCTAAAATTTATGGGGGGTATCTATTTCATGATTAATATACTATGTAAAGTTTATGAGGGGATAATCATTTCTTATGTATCAATTAAACAAAAAAAATTAAATAAATCTAACAAAAGTTCCTTTAATATTAACAAACATATTGAGTAATTCTATCCTAATATAAGTTTGAGTGAAATTCCTTTAATATTCACTATATTGTTGACCATCTGATCAATTTGCTATACGCAAATGTTCTGTAAGGTTTTTTTATATTACCGTTTAATCAATGTGATATTTTCATAACATATTTATTTTAATATTAGTTAAAAAAAATAATTCATTAAACCTTGTGGAGGTATCTATACAAAATATTTTGTTGATTATTTTCTTTTAACTAAATCATTAAATGATAATCAGTTTTCTTGCGCAGCAAAGCGCGGACCAAAAAACTAGTTTTCATTACACAACAAATTTTTTGTTAGTATGTTAAAAATATTAATGTAATAATAAACCACAAGAACAGTCCAATTAAATCACTCCAATTTTTCATCTTGCTAAAATGAATTCTCAATTTTCCACGATTCTGAAACAAAGTAAAAAAAAAAAAAAAAAAAAAAAAACAAACAGTGAGGGCCTGCTTCTTTTCAATCGTTCCCGTGTACCAACCCCTAGTCCAATGATCAGTCTACGCCCTCTTAATCGTCGATTCCTGCTTCTCCACACTTCAATGGTATTTTGTGTAATATTATTGTAGATTGTACTCATCAATTTTTTTCACAAAACTAATATACATCCTACTATTTTATTATCATTTGTATTATCAGGTATTTTTATTTAGATTTTTTAAATATGTATTTACTTTAAATTTTAGAAGAGGCCGCCCCTATATAATAATTTTGGGTGAATAAGGCTTCTATTATGTGCAATTCTACTATGCTTTAAAACATTGGTTATTTAAGGTACTATTTGAAGTTGTATTATAACGTTTAAGGTACAAGTTTATGTTATACCATCAGAAAATTTGTACAATTATATCATGGTACAATTTCAAGTTGTATCATAATATAAAAGTACAAATTCAAATTGTACTCTAAACGAATTTGTACAAAATAGTATAGGTATAACCTGAAATTGTACCATAATATTATATACTACTTCAAATTGTACAACTTCAATTTCTACTATTCATTTTAGATTGTTTTCAAATTTCATTTTCTGGTTAATTTATGCACCTTCTAAACTGGAAAACAATAGATAATTATCTCTCTCGTGAAAATCTAAATTATGAATTATGAATTTATCTTTGTTTCTGTTGTTGTGACACTTCTAAATGAATAGTTGCGTGTTGATGACTTCAATAAGGAAATTCCAAAGCACCTTCCAAACTCAATCTTAATCGCAAATTTTCATTATTATAATTTGGTCAACTAACCGAAGTAACAACTAGCACCATCAAGTAGTACAATTTATGTTAGGAGATAAAGTTTCATATGCTATTAGATCATTATCTACAACATGATAATAGATTTTCTCAGTTAGCTAGCTTGTAAGACACTCTAGCTTGATTAAAATTACATGTCCAACCACTTCAATAAAAGCTTATATAGATCTTTAACCTAAAGCTAATTCGCTTTACTTTTTTGAGTTTTGAATATAATTTCCAGTATTATTTAAAAATATAATTTCAGAGTTTTATGATGAAGAGAAGACACATAAGAAATTTAGATAAAGATCATAATTAAGCAAATCCCAAATCAAATCAAAATGATACAGAACAGATTATTGTGCAAACCAAATAAATATTTGCAATTAACACCCCTCCCTACACTATTTGATTTCTTCTCTTCCCTCCATTTTTTAAATTGATGAACAAGACGAGGCCGGGATAATTTTGAATAAAAGCTACTACATATGAGATTACTAGCTCTCATATGTGACTTTACATATTGATCATCCTTCAAAGGCTCAAACGAACCATAAAATCACATCTTAATTAACCATCAACTAAATAATCAAATATCAGTATGGCCATAATCAAAGGTTATCAACCCGGTTTAACCTATTGGTCCAATCAAGCAAGCGAGTGAAAGGTTAATGATTCGATCATTTTAGCCTGATTTCGTCGGGATATGTGAAAAAGTCAATATATCATTCCTACATGTAAAAATTATATGTAACCCCATCTAATATATGATTAATAACATATAATTACATATATTTGTACTTTAATCCAACATATGGTAAAAATTCAAACACACTTAACTCCACAATATAATTTCGTAATTGACACATTGAATGAACTAGAACAACATGAGTAATATAGATAGAACTCATGATGAGAAGAGTTGGAATCCGTCATTTGTATTTTTACTCAAAAGGAATGAAATCCCAAGATTAAGACATGCTTATATTGAACAAAGGAACATTGAAATTTTAATCATTTATACCTAAGCATAGGAATCCTAATTACTGTATGGATTATGGAAGAAAAAGGAGTTTGACCCAAACCGAGCAAACTGCAGAAATAATGTCTTTATCATATTCTTGACCAGTGAAGGAAAGCGACAAATGGATTTGATTTTAAGTGATGCCAGCGTGCGATTTGTACATATGCAAGCCATGCATAATGGCCTTATGGAATGAAAATCCGTTGACCGGGTTGAAGCCAGTTTTACCATGTTTTGACCCAATTGGAGTGGGTTTGACGAATTCGGGTGAAATTCAAAAGACACCTGTTTTTCCTATCTGGGTCCGAGTCAATCCAGCTTAACCTGCGGATCAACCCCCGGTTACCCTGGTTAGCAACCTTGCTCATAATTTGCAACAACATTAGAATAGTTTGTTTAATTTTTTTTTTCGATTCTTGGGATTTAGTTTCCAACGAACCGGTCCAAGTACACACTGACACCTCTAGTAGAGGGGCGTCCATTTGATTTGAGTCATGGATTGCAAGAAAATTAATGCTTTTGGTGCGTTGTTGACTAATTCATATAATGAGTGGCCTGAACTGCGCCCATTATACTTGTTGCATATATTAGTGCAAAGATCAGAGAAGAGACGACTAAATATTGAAGGGAAAGGAACACAAGTGGGTATGTGGGTGGAAAACGAAGATACAACTGAATTTGGTTTGTCCCATTGGATTAACGGATTTGGATATAAGAATCGGCTTTCCTCTATAGTCATTGCGCATGCATAATCATCAATGAGTCACTCATAGGATAGAATACAGGAAATTCTTACAATGCGTTGAAGTTATCATAATTTGATTGTTTTTAACTGTTATAGTAGGGGTTTTTTGACAATGAGAAACAACTTTTATTCCACCAAACGAAAGAAACGTTAACCAGGTTACATTCTTAAAGAAGATTAGAAATTAGATCAAGAATATTAATCCAGTCATCAGGAAGCGTAGCTCTCGCCTTTGTACGTGCAACCCAGTCAGCTCTGACATTGAGTGCCCTCGACACTTCCTTGACTTTAATGAACGGATTTGTCCTGAGGATATTGACAATTGATCCAATCCAGGCTGCACATCTCCACGGCCATCTCGCGTGATTAGAATTTAAAGCTTTTACCAGCACCTGACAATCATAATGAATAGTACACTCGATTCCATGTTCTTGTGCTAATTTCACTTCTTCTAAAAGAGCCTTAGTTTCTGCTTCAATCGGGGTGGAACAAAGAAGATTGTCAGCTCTCCCATCACACACTTGTCCATGATAGTTAATAACCACAACACCATATGCCGCCGGCTAGGAGTCGCTCATGAACGACCCATCACAGTGAATCACCAAAGAGGGATTACTTGGCGGAGGATTCGTATGAGACAGGATTCCCATGTGCTGAGAAGGAAGGGAAGGCATGGGAGGTGGGGGCCTCATGGAAGAGCTCCATTCAGTAAACTCTTTAACCGCTTGTTGGCACACATTCGGAGGCCACGAGATTCTATTCTTGAAAGCGCATTCGTTCCTGGATTTCCAAATATTCCAACAGAGAAACACTATATGGATCAAGGAATTCTGATGAACTGCATCTTTGAGGGAGCAGAACCAATCAAAGAACAAAGTTCCATGGGGAGGCAAAGGGAGGGACGGGAAAATAGCGGTCCATGCCTCATTGGCATGAGGGCACCGAAACAGGCAGTGATTGATGGATTCAATGGGGAAATGACACACTGGGCATGTCGCATTAGGAGCACATTTTTTGTGAAGAAGTCTATCTTTCGTTGCCAACCCATTCTTGGATCACCTCCAGATAAAGAATTTCAGCTTAGGGGGGAGGTGAAGGCTCCAAATCCATTTCCATTTCTCTGCATTCCCGCTTGGTTGAAAATTAGTATTGGCATTGTGAAGCGCATGGTAAGCTGACTTCACCGAGAAACTCCCCTCTTCAGTGAAATTCCATGCCCAGAAGTCCCCCTCACCTTCCTCTACAATAGGTATCCTCAGAATCGCTTCCAGTTCTAATCTAGATAAATGACCCTGTATAACATCCATGTTCCAACTCCTATCCCCTAGATCAATCCATCCCCAGGGGTCCTGATCGACCCATGTGTCCTCCCCCGAGCCAATCACTCGAATCGCTCCCATGTTAATGACCTTTTTTGCCTCCTAAAGACTAGCCCAAATCCAAGAGGCTTTGCTTACCTTCTTAGCGTTGATAAAATCTCCATGTGGGAAGTAAAGTCCCTTCAGAAGACGACTCCACAGTGAATTAGGAGATGTAAGGAGACGCCATGCCTGTTTTGCCAGTAGGGCTAAGTTAAAATCATTGAAGCTCCGGAATCACAACCCCCCTGCCTTAGGCATAAAAAGAATCTTCTTTCTACACTAGTGGAGACTACTCTTCTGCATAGATCCTGACCAAAATAAATTACCAGGAAGAGAGTCCATTTTCTTGGTAATTGTTTTCGGCAGCTGAAACAGGAACAAGATGAAAGATGAGATAGCTTGAATAACCGTCTTGAGAAGGATTGCTTTTCCATCATGGGAGAGTAGGAGACTTTTCCATGCCTCTCCCATTTTCTCCATTCTTTGTAAGAGGAAGTTGAAAGTTTCTTTCTTTGAATTTCCCCATTCCGTTGGGACTCCCAAATACTTAGAGTGGCAATTTGACAAAGAGAAATCGATATGGGCAATGATATTATATTTGTCATCATTGGGTACATTTGCACTGAAGAAAATAGATGATTTATTGATGTTCACTTCTTGACCTGTGATTGCTCCATACTCTCCAATAGGATCCAAAATTTTCTGTGCTTCTTGGTGATCCGCCTTTTCAAAAATGACTGTGTCATCAGCAAAAAGGCAGTGGGTGAGCACTAGGCATCTAGCATTTAGCTTAATCCCTTTAAGTTTTTCTTGGGATACTTCCTTATCAATCAAGAAGGTGTGAAAATTGGACATGAGAATGAAAAGGAAGGGAGAAAGTGAGTCTCCTTGGCTAATGCCTCGAGATGGTTTGAACGAGTTTGTAGCTTCTCCATTGAAAATAATGGAGAAGTTGACAGAGCAAATACACGCACTAACCCAACTACACCATTTATTATCAAACCCATACTTCTTCAGAAGTGTTTCAAGGCAATCCCAGTTCACGATAGCATTGATTCCAAAAGTTCTCTTCATCCTTCCAAATCTTTGTCAGTTCCATCGTGAGCTTCTTCTCTTCCTCCACATTCTCCTGCGTTCTAGGAGGGTGATGTAGAATCTCGAGCTGTTTAATGATATACTGCTCTCTTTGCACACTGATTTTATGGAATTCCTTTGACCACTCCTTTAAATCTCGTTCGCATTTGCTCAATTGGACAGGCGATTGACCTCCCGGGTCCCAGGCTCGGGAAACAATCTCTTTGCACTCCTCTTTCTCAAGCCATCTTTCATCAACCCTAAAAGGGGTCTTTTTCCTCCTACTTCATCTATAATGAAGCTCCAGTCTGATTGGACAATGATCAGACTCCACCATCTTCTCATGGAAAACTATTGCTTCTCCAAACTGAACTCACCAAGAAGTCGAACAAAGCACTCGATCCAATCTAACTCTCGTCAAATTTTCCCCTGATCTCTTGTTTTTCCAAGTAAAGGGCTCCCCTTTATACCCCGAATCGATCAGAGCGTTGTGGAAGATGAACCTTTTAAAAGGCTCCACATTCTTGTACCTAAGAGGGCATCTCCCTTCTTTCTCATTTTCATAAATAGCAGCATTGAAATCCCCTACAACAACCCAATTGTCATCCCTTCTACTCCGAAGGGAGCTCAGATGCTCCCAAAATTCCCTTCTACTAACAGTTGTAGAAGGAGCATGAACAAAAGTACAAAAGAATTTTCTACCCATGTCTATTCTAACATCCATGTAGTAGCTATCACTACTTAACACGGTGATATTAATACCCTCTTTCCACCATAAAGCAAAGCCCCTAGAAGATTTAACCGGTTCAACATACTCTCTAATGGGGAAAATCTTGAGACTTCTTCTTTGTTCTCCATGAACTTCTCGTTTTTGCTCGTTTCCATTAGAAAAACAATAGAATGGCCTAAGCGACGACAAAGACGCTTTGCATAACTTCTTGTAAGGGATGGGCCAAATCCTCAACAATTTCAACTTACTATACTCATTCCGGATGATGTGGCTTCTGGCGAACCAATGCTGCCCTTATCTCCTCAACTTGCCTAGCCGGCTCCCCCTTCAGCTCGTTTGCCCCTTTGCTCGACATTAGGTATCATCTTTTCCCTTTGGTTCTTCTATTTCCTATTCTCCCCTCCAGGCCCACCCACAAAACCCCATCCTTCTGGGCTGAGTAACCAAATAACTTCCTCATTAAAACCGGATTTGGGTCTTTCCCCACTCACTTGACTTGTTCCCTTCCTTTCTTCGTACTTCGGCCCATTTCAACCTCAAGCCCTTCATCTGCATGTTGGTATAAGCTAGCTCCAGTTGGGCGAATGAGTGGGCCTGACTTGCAGCGGACAGATGACTCGGCCCCAATGTCAGCTCGGTCTGGACATCCCTCGCTTGCTGCTCGTCGGCCTCTTCTCTTCCTCCACCCTCTTCCAATCTCAATCCCCATTCCAGCTCCGCCGCCGCTCTATCAAGGTCAAGGTTGAGATTCCTTGAACCCATCTCCTCCCTGTACTTTCCTCTCCAACTCCCCTACGTCCCTTGCTCCTCCCTTTGAATTGGCTCCTGCTCTACCCTCTAAACTGTGAAGCCTGGTGGAATTTAGGAATTCCTCTCGGCTGAGCCTCCATCATCCGACGTCGTATCTCCCCGCCGATAAACTCCTACCGATCTCGTTCCCTCTCTTTCCACCATTGAGCTCTGTGTATTTCTGCTCTCTCCCCTATTTCTAGATTGCGCCGAGGATTGCCTGTGAGGAGAGTCAAGTCCTTCCTTAAGCGAGGAGTTTTAAATCTCTGACAAGTAGGCTACTCCGTTTTTCTTCCTTTTCTCATTCATTCTTTTGCACGTCGGCCAGTTGTGGCTGATTCTTCCACAAAAATAGCACAGTTAGTAGGTTTCACAAGTCACATTACGTAAAATATTATAAACATTACATAATGGTTAATTAATGTATGATTACCTTACGTAATAGTTGTTACATGTCATTACAGAAGATTACGTAATGAACACTAACCTTGAGATACGTAATTTGTTAAATTGTTACACAATGCTTCTAATTTAACTATTACGTAAGAAATAACTGTCATGATGTAACCTTTAAGTGATAGATATATGTGTTTGCATAATAATTGTAAAGTGTCATTACGGGAGTCTTACGTAATGTACAGCCTTTTATGTGATAAGTATTAATCAAAGTTACGTAATGCTTTAACTCAGCAGTCATTACCGAAGTCTTACATAAAGCTTCTAATTTAACTGTTACATAAGAAATTACAATCGATTTGTAACCTTTATGTAGTGAACATGTTTTATATATCAGTTAACAATTATTAAATATCATTATAGAAGTCTAACATGATAAATGATCCTTTTACGTAATGAATATAAATATTATATTACGTAAAATATTAAATCATTACGAAAATCTTGTGTAACACCATTGTATAATTGTTACGTAAAACTAACAAGTATTACCCAATAAACATTATATTTACAAAATGCGAACCGTAAACTTGATATACTAGTTCAAAATGGTCAATTTTTAATAACTTAGGCATGGTAGGAAGCCCGCCACTTTCCAAATTGAGCTCATCTTCAATAGTATATAGTAGACACTTTTTCCAATCGAGCTTCTTAATTTCAAATTTCCTCAATTCTTAAACATCCATATCAACCTTATTTTTATGTCCTTTTATTATTTTGATTTGTTTTTATTTTTCTATGTTTCACAATAATTAAAATAACCAAAACACATCAAATATGCATCAATAAAATCTAATGCGATGATTTTAATCATAAATCTAGTGTGATAAAGTACATTGATGATATTAATAACAACAAAATTAGTACTATTGTATCATCATATGTGTTTAACACTTAACTACTTATTCACAATCTTTTCACTCCATCAGTAAAATTTATATTAGAGAAAATTTTATTAATTTAAGTGAATCTTATACTATAAGCATATATTTTATTGGATAAACAATACATAAATTACGATTATAAATCATTAAAAAACAAAAAGCATAAAAAATTTTAAATATTTTAAATAGGATCTCAAGTAATTAATAATAATAACAATTAACAGTCCGATGGCGGGAAGCAACGTTAGTTTTATTATGATGCTTTGACATACTATAATTATGTAAATCATCTCAAAATTTTGTTATTGAATTTTTAATATTGTTTATCAAACAATTGAAGCTATGTAAATACATGTTAATATCTATCAATTTATCCACTAAGTAAAGAATGTGTCAAGAATCCATTAGTTCCAATAATAAGAGGTTCCAATTTTGAGTTTTATTCCACTTTAAAACATAATGAGATTGGGCAATAGAATTTTTGGATATTCGGATGGAGCAAAAATCGGGCCTGGTCGATGTTTGAAAGCTTGGCAAGGGTTCGAAAAGGTAGTCACGGACTCACGGGAATGGAAGGGTGGTGGGGAAATATGAACAACAGGTCAGACACAAATTTGAGCTAGCTTCATGCTCTTGCTCCAATAACATGGTACGACGGCTTCCGTTCTGTCAGCCAGTCCCACTTGACTATATATATGTTATGTCATGTGCTAGTCTCGTTAAATAAATTTAGATTGGTGGTGGTTTCTTGTCAAACTCCAATTTTGTGTCATAAGAAGCGTCAGTGCAGTCAGGCTTCATACTAGGAGCTTGCTTTCTTTTCTGAACCATCTTCTATTCATCGGAACTTGAGAAACGGGAGCATCTCATAAGTCAGAACTTAATATTCAGAACACCAAAAGTAAAGAAGAAGAAAAACTTTCTACCAAAAAAAAAGAAGAAAAACAATAATCAATCAACAAAATAAATAAATTTTAGTAGCATACCGATACCGTTTGGATGATAACTTTGACAATTTGTGTTTTGGGAAGATGGATTTTCTCTGAGTATTAACAATGTTGTTTCTCCTAGAAATTCTCAACAGTACCGTATAGTTGGACAATTTCAATTTAGTTCAATTCTGAACGAATTCTAACCACAATTTGGGATTTATTTCAATTTATTTCTCAAAATTTGGTTAAGTATGGAAATCCCATGGCTAGGGGGGCCAAACGACATGGTGCCAAACGACAGGGTACCAAGCCAACAATGCAAGCTTGGTATCAAGACATGAAATTTGCAAAGTATAGAGCCAAGAGGGTACCAAGTCGACAAGGCAGGCTTGGCATGGTTGGTATCAATGTATGAAATTTGGATTAGTATGGATCCCATGGCTAGGGGGCCATATGACAGGGTTTCATACCAGCCATAACAATAGGGGGCTAAACGATAGGGTACCAAGCCGACAAGGCAGGTTTGGTATCCCTAGATTATCAAGACCAAGTATGGAACCTCGAGGGTGGAGACTTGTCAGCCAAGGTACTTAGTTGCAGAGTATCAACTTGATGGAAAATTGGTGTATAGCCCCTTAGGGCCATATGAAGACTAAGTCCCAAGACGTGCTTGGTGGCCCCGGATGCAAGTCGCGCGGCGACAAGGTACCAACTTGATGAGGTTCTAAAAACTAAGTATAGAGACCAAGCCGGCAAGACTGGCTTGGTAGTAGGGGCCGACATGACTGGCTTGGGGGCAGAGGCCAACATGACTGAGAGACAACAAAAGCAGGAGCAAGACGATAACTACGAAACTATGTATGGAGTCTTGGGGGCTGCCAAGTGTGTGGTCGAGACTTCATCATTGAGGCAAGGTTAAGGGCTTCAACCCTATCCAGTCAAAACAAGGCAACAAGACTCAACACCAACCCTACCTAGCTTCGAGGCCATCAAGTACCAACCTGTCAACAAGACGGAGCAAGAGACCCCAAAGTGATAGGAGTCAACACCAAGGCGACGATAAGGGGTACCTAAGGAGGTCAGTCTATGCCTAACAACCCTCATGACATGCCAAATATGAATGGTGTCCAAGGAGCCAAGTTCATACTTAACAACCCCTATGACATGCCTAACATGAATGAAAGGCAATGGGGCATGAAAAAGATATCCTGGCACACACCAACCATACATGATCCTACAAAATACCAATGGTGGTTATGTGTGAAGTGTGGAAACCAGCAAGTCATATGTGTTGGACAACGCCAAGTTGGCTTCAAGGGTGGTCATCGTCTCATTGAGTCCAACCATTTGTCTTCCCAATTATACGGGAAGAGTAATAATGGTTGGGGGAAAATAAGGCAAATATAAACCCGTGGTCCCTTTTATGAGGCTAAGGAGTTGAAGATGCCTAATGTACCACTTGGGACGAGGCAAACACATCAGGTTCATAATCAACACAACATGTCTAGTAAGTTGGCTAAGGCAGAGGATCAGGGGACCCCTTGCAAGCCACCAAGGCAAAGCATGTTGAGCGGGTATCATCCATTATTAGGTTGGAAAATTCGAGATCAACATCGAAGGAGTTTTCTCCCCTTAAGGAGGGAAGACATGTAGTGTATGGATGGTTGGTCTAGTTAAATCCATGGACTTGGTAGTGGATGTACACCTTTGGCGCTTTGGTGGTTGCCAAAGGGAATGGAGAGAATTGATGCAAGTCACTCTCTGCTATATCAAAATAGGTAAATATATTAAAAAAATACAAGGAAAAAATTTTCATAGGCCAACTTTGGCTAATTTTTGTGTGTGTGTATAAGAGGTGAGGGCCTTGCCATGACGTGTAAACAACAATGTCTATGGATTCCTTTACAATCTCTAGATTGATGGGTGTACATGCCAGTTACATGGCATGAGTAGTTGGTTGAGTGTTTGACCTGGACCCTTTATCATCCAAGTCAACCGTCCAAGGAGCCCTGCTTGTTAAATTATCAATATAGGGGCTACATGATCAATTCATCAATGTTGAGTGTCTCAAATCCCGTCCTTCTCTTTGGAACGTGAGTTTTCAACGAGTTCAATGTTATTCGACCACCTTGATGCCAGCATGCCAAGCCTCCCATGCCCTCTTGATGGAGTATAGCTTGAACAGCTAGCCATACACAGAGGGTATGTTGGCATAGAAGTATGTCATTGGTAGTGGGACAGTGAATACAAGTATATTGTATCATATTTTATTAATAAAAAATTTTATTGCTAAGTACTAAGGCAGTAAAGGAGCACCTTGCCTAGGGAAAGCACTAAAGGGCCAAGTTGTGGAGGCGAATTGGCCATACAATTGCTTGGCATGTCTCATATGAAAAATAGTTTGTTTTTTTCTCCTGTTGATGGTGGCCAATTAATTTGGCCCAGATGACGTGACTTGGGCCAAGGCCATGATTAAATGGTTTTGTGGTTAAGCTAAGGGAAATTTGACTAACTAGGAGAACAATGTGAGATATCTCATTCATAAAGCCACGCTGTGTTTTGCGTAGCTTTGTGTTGTGGTTTCTTATTAGATTTGGGGATGGTGGAATTCAATTAATCTCCTAGGTAATGTAGTTGGTGTTAACAACTTAGTGCATGATCCTTATACACTAAGTTGTGGCGGGCATTTGTTTACCCATAAAAAAAATTAAATTGTACCACATCGATTAATTACCAAATATTTAATGGATTGATAAGGCCAGCTCAATATTAAACATTAAAAGAGCTAGTTGGACCTTATTGGGTTGGTTTTTGGGCCTAAGAGGCCAAGCTCCTCTCATACACGATGGCTAACCCGTTTCCTTTGCCCCCATAGCCGGACGACGCCTCCACCCCCTTGGTAAGAAATTTGACTCCAAAAAACTAAGTCTGGAAACAAGGCGAAAAAATAGGGTGCCAAGCCAACGAAAGAGGCTCGGTAGGCTAAGGCTACCAAGCAAGGCAAAATAGGCTTGGTAGGCAAGCAACCAGGTACCAAGCCGACGAGGCAAGCTTGGTACCAAAACATATGAAAATTTGCTAAGTATAGAGCCAAGAGGGTACCAAGCCGACAAGGCAGGACTGTACTCAAACATGAAAGTTGGCTAAGTATGGAGCCAACATGGTAGCAAGTAGACAAGGCAGGCCTGGTACCCAAACATAAAATTTGGCTCAGTATGGAGCCAACAGGGTACCAAGCCGACAAGGTAGAGCCTGGTACCAAAACATGGAATTTGGCTAAGTATGGAAATCTCATGGCTAGGGGGTCATACGAAAGGGTGCCAAACGACAGTGTACCAAGCCGACAAGGCAGGGCCTGGTACCAAAACAACAAGGTACCAAGCAGACAAGGTAGAGCCTGGTACCAAAACTTGGAATTTGGCTAAGTATGGAAATCCCATGGCTAAGGGGTCATACGAAAGGGTGTCAAACGACAGTGTACCAAGCCGACAAGGCAGGGCCTGGTACCAAAATATGGAATTTGGTTAAGTATGGAAGTCTCATGGCTATAGGGGACATACGACAGGGTACCAAACTAACAAGGTAGGCTTGGTATCAAGACATGAAATTTGGCCAATTATAGAGTCAAGAAGTTGCCAAGTCGGCAAGGCAAGCTTGGCATGATTGGTATCAATGTATGAAATTTGGGCAAGTATGGATCCCATGGCTAGGGGGCCATACGACAGGGTGTCATACCAGCCATAGCAATAAGGGGCCAAATGATAAGGTACCAAGCCGGCAAGGCAGGATTACCAAACAAAAGGGTACCAAGCCAACAAGGCAGGCTTGGAATCACTAGATTATCAAGACCAAGTATGGAACCTCGAGGGTGGAGACTTTTCAGCCAAGATACCGAGCTTACAGATTATCAACTTGATGGAAAAGGCAGGCTTGGAATCACTAGATTATCAAGACCAAGTATGGAACCTCGAGGGTGGAGACTTTTCAGCCAAGATACCGAGCTTACAGATTATCAACTTGATGGAAAATTGGTGTAGAACCCCTTAGGGGCCCATATGGAGACTAAGTCTCAAGACGTGTTTGGTCGTCCCCAGTACAAAGTAGGCGGGGCGACAATGTACCAACTTGATTAGATTCTAAAAACTAAGTATGGAGACCAAGCCGGCAAGACTGCTTGGTAGTAGGGGTCATCATGACTAGCTTGGTGGCAGGGGGTATCAAGCCAGAGAGACAACTAAAGCAGAAGCAAGACGATAACAACGAAACTAAGTATGGAGCCTTGGGGGTTGCCAAGTGTGTGGTCGAGACTTCATTATTGAGGCAAGGTTAAGGGCTTCAACCCCATACAGTCAAAACAAGGCAGGAAGACTCAACACCAACCCTACTTTGCTTCGAGGCCCTCAAGTACTGCCAAGTCAATAAGACGGGGCAAGAGGCCCCAAAGTGATAGGAGTCAACACCAAGGCGGCGACAAGGGGTCCCTCCCTAAGGCGGTTGGAGCAACAAGTCGGCTAGCAGTTACCAGGGTGGTTACCAAGGCAGTTACACCTTGTGGCTATAAATAGGAGAAAAGAAGAAGAAGCAAGGGTTCCACAACATACCCTTTGACCACTATGTCAAACTTTTATCTTTTCTCTGCAAATAAGTCATAACTTGTAGTTTCCGGAGCTCTCTCTGAACCTCCATAGGCGTAGGTGTAATTAACTTAGTTCTTTCACAAACAGCCATCAAAATCATCAAACACTCTCGTTCGAACATTGTTCGGAGAGGTGTGAACCGTGTTATTAATCGTTGTTCAAGAAGTTAAGGTGCAAAGTATTAATATCAAACACCAGATTTTCCACCACGGAAAACACATTCTTGTGCCAAAGAAAGTCTGAGTAGACCTTATCTATTCTAGCTATAACTTTTTTGGGAGCAAGAAAAGGGACATCCAATACTGAGCAACTGAGTACAGAACTGAGGAGATGAGCTGCATTTTGCCGGCATCAGTCCATTTGCTCGCTCTCCATGAACTGATCCGGGAAGTGATCCTATCCACCAATAAGTCACACACTTTGCTAGTTAATCTCCCAGAAAGTAGAGGCAGCCCTAAATACCTAACAAGTAAGGAGTCATCTCCGAATCCTGTGATTATCATCAAAGCATTATTCTTAAACACCACAATAGCTCCCCGGAAGAAAACCTCACATCTCAATGGGTTACAATGCAGACCAGATAATTTAGAGAAATTATTCAGAAAATCTTGTGATTTACTTATTTGATTTTACTAAAGTAAAGATATATGTATAATTTTTTTATCTTCGACCTCAAGATTCAAAATCTTGGGTTCGTTCAGTTAGGATATAGGAAGGTTGCAAAACTGTTTCTAAAACCTACCGTCAAAAGGAAGAGGTTCCAGGGAGTTCAAAGGTCAAACTCATTGGTTAGTAAATGATAGTCAGTCTTAACATTATACTCCCATGATTCAGAGAAGTGCCAAATGAGGCGATCCACGACTAGCAGAAGCTAAAAGAATTGTAGTTATCCATGAAATTGAATGTGAGGTGAATAGGAAGCGAATTAGTGGATTATTCAAGCTCCAAGTTGCTACCCAAATCAGGTATATTATGCAAGTTTAGGAAAGGGAAGTACCTGGAAGTATAGTGGGAGAAGATGGACGGATTGTAGTAATCCACTTGTCAATCAAAATTCTCACGGGTTCTCCTAAGATAATTTCCCACCGCAATCCACAAGCCAGTAAATTATGACTTCCTGGATGCCTTGCAATGCCCATGAAGGCAGCATGCCAGCTGAAGCTTCCGAATACGACTTGTTAGGATGCTACCTCGCTTTATACAACCTAGATAAGATCACTTTCGACTCATGGAGCAATTTCATGCTTGTTGGGAAAGTAAGGCAATGTTGAAACGATTAAAATCTCTAAATCGCACCCACCTTCAAATTTACTTTGTCAGATGTCGTGCCATTATATCTAGTGCATCCCATCTTCTTTATATTGATCGCCCCCCTAAAACCTTAGAAGTTGACTATTGCATATGCGACACACTGGAGAAGGTAAACAAAAAGTTGACATATCATATATAGGAGAACCTAATCAATAGATTTGATTACCACCTCTTTTGCCACCAATGCCATATATAGTTGTGCTTTCCAACTTTAGATTCTTGTGACCAATCATTCCTCAATGTTTCAAAATGGAATCACCTTAGAACGATGTACTTGTGATGGGCTCTAGGTATTTGTTATGAGGTCCCATGAACTCGCAGACCATGCAGGGACGAGCTTACTATCTCAACTAACAGTTTGACAAAAAAGACTTTCGAGTATAGGGCAAACAACAGAGGGAATAAGGGATCACCTTGTCAGATTCACTTATGAGATTCAAAGTATCCATAATCAACACCATTCATGAGTAAATACAATCTTACCATTTTTACAAGTCTTGAGCCATCGTTCACAAAAAGAAAAAGAAACAGCGCCGGCAATAGCGAGAATAGAAATCGTCATTCCACTCAGTCGTACACTTTCTCCATATCAAGGTTAAGCTCCGTCCATTTATTCCTACCTTTGGTCTTTGAAAATTGCATCACTTCTTGACCTATCAGAATATTTAAATAGACCGACCTACCTTGAGTTCTAATCTTACAAAAGTCTTTTTTATGCAACGAGCAAATCTCTACTTCCCCTGTTGTGCTTATTGCAAATCAACAATCCAGGGAAACCACATCACCAGACTACAACAGGACACTTCCACCAACATTTGTAGCTTATTCAAAATATGGGATTGGTATATATATGTATCGTACATGACCAGAAACAAGTATATCATTGTATTGGAGAATTGACAATTGTTGAAACTTCTTTAAGATTCTATGCAAAGTCCACCATTAGACACAACAGCTATGCTGCAGAACACCATATAATTAAGATGGATAATCATTCCCTCCTCCATCCATTAGTTCTTTGCCTCAGCAGCATAGAGCGCTTTGATCTCCTCCACATCGTCATAGCTCCCCAAGAAAATGGGAGATCGCTCGTGTATCTTCTTTGGGAGTAGGTCTAGTGCCTGATTTTACCATATAGATTCGAATCATGAGTTCAACAATGATATGAAAAACTTCAAATCATACGACAACGGGTAGGAAACAAGTCTTTACCCTTTCCTTGCCGGTGAAAGCCTGACCTCCAGCTTGCTCCATCAGGAATGACATTGGGAAGACTTCGTACAAGACACTAGTTTTGTAAACCATGTCAACATCAGTTTGAATCAAGCTATTCAGCTTGTTCCTACAAGATAACAGAATACTAACTGGAAATCACAAATCGAAAGCTTACCGAAGTTTGCCACTGGGACTTTTCTTGTCGGCTGGGTACAAGAATATGCCTCCATAAAGTAACGTGCGGTGCACATCAGCAACCATGCTGCATTTTAAAGAAGTTCATAATATGCAATACTGTAGAATGTGAAAGGTGAAAGGTCACAGCACAGAGTAGCAAAAGACTAGATTGGGAGGTAACATTTTCCCCATAGGTACCTACCTTCCAATGTATCGAAGAGACTTTGGTGAGGAACCTTCTTTAGGGAACTTGCAGTTTTCCACATACCTTAAAGAGTTGAGAGCCACAAATTGTCAAAGTAAGGCATAGAAGAAACAAGTTATTTAAACAATGAACTATGTCAGGAATAAAGTTGGTTACTTGGCTGTAGGACCATCCCAATTCTTGGCATTCCCTTCATTCACTGAATAGATCTTACCTTTCTTTGGAATCTGCACAAGATTGAAGTTCCCTCCATAAATCAACTCAAAGAAAGAAACCTATAACTACTAAGTTTATTTGGAGTCAATAGCAGCAAACATTGAAAGTGCAGCAACCTTAATATCAGGGTGGGTGAGTATGAACTCCCCAAGGGATGGATCAAGAGTGAACCCATTCACTCCACTCCCTGTGCTCAGCACCAACTGCAACACCACAATGGAAATCATTTGCATTGTAAACAGCATTTGGAGAAAGCTACAAAGGAAAGAAGGAGTTTTTCGACAGGAAGACAGTAGTACTACTTCAGAAAAACAATGGGCTATATTAATTATACCGTGCAAGAGCTTCCATACATGCAGTAACCAGCAGCAACCATGTTCTTCCCTGGCTGCAACGCTTGGTCTAGAGTGGGCTCAGTAAAATCTTTCACCATGTAAACCCCAAAAATCTACACAGACAACCAAAAACCCATTCCAGCCACTTAAAACAGCAACAACAAATCATTAGCCAGACACTGAAAACAACGTTATATATTAGGGTGTATACATTTGAAGTTTGGTCATTATACCGTTCCAATGGAGACACCACAGTCGATGTTGGAGGATCCATCCAAGGGATCGAAGACAACACAGTACCTGCCACGCAACGCTGGCTCGACAAAGGTCGCTTCCTCATCTTCCTCGGACACAAGAATGCACTAAAAGTATGATGATCAAAGTCAGAAAGTAGTGGACTAGTTAAATGTTTTGTCTGTTGAGAGAGAGGGAAATGTGTGCTACTTACAGTGCGGCCACTGCTGACCAATGCTTTGACAAAGACATCATTGGAGAGCACATCCAGTTTCTTCTGCTCTTCGCCCTACATGTAAATGGCAATTAATCAACATGTAGATAATCCTCCATTAACCACGGTAATGATTTGCTATTAGCTGGTTCAGGATTGACAAAACATAGTATTAATCAGAACCAAATAAAGCTACCAAGTGATGTTTGTTTTCTTCCTCTGTTTGTTACAAGAATATGTTAAATCATTCTGATTCTGGGGTCATCTGGCCCATGAGCATATCCTGAGAATAAAGTTGAAGAATGAAGCAAAAAAGAATGAGCTCGGGCCCAAGTGTCAAACTTGCCTGAACATTGGTCTCCCCAGCAAGCCCAATTAACTTGGCCAGACCAGCCTGCACATATATATAAGATAAAGATAATATATCATAGAAAACCAAACAAAAATGATTAATAACAAATTCTTTGTTTGACAAATGTTTGTGTTTGTCAAAAAAATATATATTATTAAAAAATTCTACCAAATATCTGAGAGTTTCAAGTACCGTAGCAGAAAAATCAGTGGAATATTTAATATTTTATGATGAAATTACAGTTTATTCGTAGTTTAACGGTTAATACTATTAAATACTACAGCCTCCAATATTTATATTTTGCAATTGACTCGCCGATACGGTATGATACCACAATTCAAGGTGACGCGTCAACGGGTGACCATATTTTTGTTTGACAATTTTGGTTCCGGTTTTTTGTTCGAGAATGAACCGACGAACCTAATGAGTAGATTACCTTCAACCACTAGCAATCAGATAAGGCAAGAAATAAAATATGTAGCTAGGAAATAATAAAATACCAAAAACGGATTACGGATTTGTTAAAAAAAAAATTGACAGATTATGGTGCTCCTCGATCGTCAGGGAAGAAAACTGCTAAGCGAATCCATTCATTGATTGGGATAATGGGATTGATTTGGATTCAGTAGAAACATTGATGAACGGACGGACGGAATCAATCAGTAAAGGGAAGGGAAGGGGTGGGGAGGGACCTTGTTGACGGAGGAGCAGACGAATTTGCAGCCGAGAACAATGTGACTGAGGAGGATGGTGAAGTCGCCGCGAGATTCCGGGTGCTTCGACTGCTCGTTCAGCACGTACCTCGTTATCGTCATCAAGTCCGTCCGCAGTGCATCCGCCGCATGATCCATCTTTATTTTCCTTCTTTTCTTCTTCCTCTTCTTCAATGGAGGCAGGCAGAGATACAGACAGAGAGGGGAGTCGGAGATTTTTATTTTTTAATTTTCCGCACTTTATACAGGGATGTTTTGGTCGCGCGGTTCGAGGAGGGGATAACCGAGGACAGAGGGAGTGAGGTGGGGCCCGCCTGATCTGGAGCACACGTGGCGTCAGGAGAGTGAAGGAGTGTGGTGTGTGGCCGTCACTGCGGATAACTCTTTTCTCTCCCCTCTCTCTCTCTGTCACTCAATTCGACAGTTATGCGGTTCTTGTCTACGTCTGCGTTGGAGGGACGAGATACGGTGACAACCCCCAGATTCACAACCAAGGGTATTTTGAGTATGAAAAAAATGAATATATTAATTACGTTTTTTGTATTAATTATATTGGGAATTAAAAACCCATATTAAATACAATTTTTTTCTGAAATTTAAATCCTATAAATTAATATCTCTATCTATCTCTCTCTCTTCCTTTCTCTAGCAGCCACTCCGCATCGACCGACAAACTTTTTCTCCGGCAAATTCTCTCCGGCAGACTCCTTCCGGCAACCTGAAAAAATGTACCAATGCGTTAAAAAGTGTACCAATCTATTAGTCTACTGATAATTAATATACCAGTGCTAGTGGTACGCTACCAGTACGTTAAAAATGTAGCGGTACCAGTAAAAAATGTACCAGTACTAGTGGTACGCTACCAGTAGAGAATAATACAACGCTACTAGCACTGGTAGCGCTACCACTAGCACTGGTAGCGCTACCACTAGCACTGGTAGCGCTACCACTAGCATTGGTAGCGGTACCAGTAGCAAATAAATAAAAAACAGATGATAGTGGTACCAGATGATAGGGGAGCCACTGGTATTGGTACCAGTGAGTAGTGGTAGCGTACCAATAGCGCTACCAGTGGTATTGGTACCAATAGTGCTACCAGTGGTATTGGTACCGGTAGAGACTATCAGATCAGGAAAAAATAGGGATGAGTCTTGACCTCGCGGTGGCGGCGACATAAAAATGGTGGTGGCAGGGGAGGACAGCGGCGCGGCCGGTTCCTTGCCGGCCGGGGGGGGGGGGGGGGGGGGGGGGGGGGGGGCAGCTGCTTCTCCTTGATTGTTTTCGTGGTGGTGCTTATGGGAAGCTGCTGCAGCTGCTGTGATGGGGATGAGATCTCATCCATGGCGGTGGAGAGAGGGGGAGGAGAGGAAAGAGAGAGATGAGGGTGGGTGGAGAGAGGCGGCAACGGTGGTGGAGGCCGGCGGCAGTGCTGTCTGGAGAGAGGGAGGAGGGAAAGAGAGAGATGATGGGGAGAGGGAGGAGTTAGAGGTTTTATTTTATTTATATGGGAGGGAGAATGATTGGGTGTGTTAACATTTTTCCTTTCCAAAAATACCCTTCTTTTAATCCTAACCATCAACTTAAAAAAAGAAGAAAGAGACAGGAAAGAGAGTGTATCCAACGGTTAGTGAGTGGGTTGTGAATCTCACAACCCCTAAGAGGGTTGTCACCGTATCTCATCCCTGCGTTGGATGGCAATGGGTAGGGTTGGGTCGGGTTTTGCCAAATCCAAACTCAAATTCATTAGTTTATCCGTGAAAAAAATTCGGGGTAAAACTCATTGGGTTTGAATAACTCAAACCCAACCTAATCTGTTGGGTATCCGCGGGTTTTTGTCGTAAAAGATTTACAATAACAAGTTCCTATCAAAACTAAAGTCAAATATCAATCTCTAAATACAAATTATCCATATTTAAAACACTATTATAGAAAATTCAAGCAAACCACAAATTAAGTATACAAATTGTTCAACACCAATCTAGAAAACTCAAATCCATAAATAACATGATTGATTGAAAACTTCTTCCTTTCAATTAAGTTTCTAGAATATACCTCGGATACCACTTAGACTGTCTCCAACCCAAGCATGCAAATTTGGAGAAAGAGAGGTTTTTGGCTTTTTTTCATCTCCAATCCACCAATTATTTGGCTTGCAAATTTGAAAAGTGGGCTTGGGGGTGGATATATAGAAGCTGATATGGAAAAATGCAAGGAGAAGGTGGGGGACCAACCATGGAACCCAAGCCCACATGCTGGGGCCCTCCACTTTCCAGCATCTTTTTTTTTTTTTTACTTTCTTAATTTTTGATTGGTTGGTTATGAGTTGGGAAGGCAAATTTAGAAGGTTTAGGGTTGGAGCAAAAAAGTGTTTTTGGAAAGTAAAAATGCACATTTGAGAGCCTGAGAGGCTAAATATAACCTTTTGGGTTGGAGTTAGTCTTAAGTTTCATAATTGAGGCAGACATACCACTTAAGTTTGATTAAGGCGTCGGGTACCACTGAACTCTATTATTTGTGCACCCGGTACCACTTAAGTTTAATGTTAAGCGCATTCCGTTAAAGTTAACAGAATATCCTAAGAATATTCTGTTTTCTAAATGTCTTAATTGGTCATTCTACTTTTCTTATTGTAAAAAAATCATTTTAACTTATGAAAAACATCAATTTTTATTATTTAATTGGTATCCTCTTTTAAAAACTTGATACCAAATTAATTTTTTAATAGAAAATTTAAAATCAATTATCATTATAAGTATTTTCAATTATCATTATAAGTATTTTCAATTATCATTATGTTTTCTAAAAATTGAATTATTCTCTTTTTTTAAAGATTTTGATACCAAACCAATTTTTTAATAGGAAATGTAGAATCAATTATCATTATAAGTACTTTAAATTACCATTATGTGTTATAATAATAGAATAATTTGCTTAAGCAAATATATCCTATGAATTCTATATCGATATAAATAATATGAGGATGTTATATTTAATTCTCGTACATCATCTAGATGTTGTATAATTTTCTTGGTTACTTTCGTTCTAAATTTTCTTCAATTACTGTAATATGTTTAATTCTTTCTGACTATGTTCCATTTATCTTTCTTTGGTCTTGATGTATTGATGATCAATTAGATTCTATTTTAACTATTTTTATTGATTTTGAATATTGATTATTATGTTCTATATATGTATTCTTCTTTGATATTTGTTTATTATTTTTACTAACTTATCTATTTTATTGAAAATTTTGATTAATCATTTAAGTAATATTATGTTTTGAAGGTTTTCTTAATTTCTATATTAGATAAAAACTCGTTGAAATATAGTTTTGGATGCTTTTAAAAGTTTTGGGTACCAAAAAGTAATTAAAATTTTGGGTTGGATGGAAAACTAGACGGATGCACATTTTGGTGACTTTAATGGTACCCAACGCCCTATTCAAACTTAAGTGGTATGTCTGCCCCAATTCTCAAACTTTAGTGGTACTCGAGGTATTTTACCCATAACATCAACTTCATTCTACACCATTAGAAAGAAAAAATTAGACATGTCTCCACAAACATAAATAAGATTAGTTGTTTAGAATATTAAATATACCGAGAAAATTAATTATATGGGTGTGGGCGGGTACCCATGAGTCGGGTTTACCTAAACCCAAACCCAACCCGACCTGGTGAATAGTGAACAGGTTTATAACCCAACCCGGCCCAAATCTCGTCAACACAAATTTTATCCGCGTTGACCGGATTGGTTCGGATGGGTACCCGTAGGTTTGGGTTTTGTTACCACCTTCCCCCTGCCTTTGTTTTCTTCTCCCAGAAACTTATGCTTTACTACTATAACATGCTGCTGATGCGGGCCGCGTGTTTGTTTGGTGCTAATGGGCCGGGTCGGTTTAGCTTTTGAGCTTATCCAACTTGGTGGATTTGGGTGCTGGATGATTGGATCCATCTGGATTTTGTCAAAAGCTATTCTTTGGCGAGGCTTGTTTCCGGCTCAGGGACCGGGATGAATAGATCGTAGCCATGAATGGATTTGTAGATATTTATTCATGGGAGATACGAATGGTATCGTGAAATCTACACGTCATTATAGGCCTCATATTCGGTTGGTTCGGTTATGACTAAATATAGTTAGTCGGTTCTCTATTAACTATTTAGTAATTTTTGCTAACTGTTATCACGATACAAGAAATTTTAATTAATTGGTAATTCTTACCGTATTAAGAAAAGCAATAAGATAAGGAGAACAAAAAATTTTATGAACAACAACTTTTAATATGTTGTAATTTTTTTTTATGGTTTAATCAAAATTTCATTAAAGACGGATACTCAAAAATGCCTTGAGCACCTATCAACTCATACAACCATCATAATTGATTACAAAGAAAAACCTGTTTCTATTACGAGAAAGATAACTCCCCTAGTCAACCCTGTTTAGGCTAGCGTGCAATCTCTGGAAATAAACCAGCTCTATATAGCACAATACACTTCAACTCGACACATATCAAAGCAGGAGATAATTGCCGCATTAGAGCCATATAAGCAAAAACAACGCTCCCTCCACACAAGACTGATAATTAAACACCATACTAAGCGACCAAGTACAACCCCTGGCATATACATGACAATTTTAACTCTAGTTAATACCATGTCACAAATTCGTATTAATAAATAAGAAGTTCATGTATCGGATTCACTAAAAATACAAATACGTATACTGAGATGATTAATAGCAACGTTTATGTACTGAGATGACCGAATCATAAATATTTAAACCGTCAAATTAACCTTCTTAGTTTCATTTTTAGTCTCGTTATCATAGTAATTATATGGGCACTTAATCGTATGCTTTCAGAATCCGAACGGATACTGAACTGAAAAAATTTGTGGTTGATGATTCAATGCCGTTATAGAATCGTTTGTTAACTGTTGAAAGAACCGCTGATGCGCTATAACAAAAAAAATTAAAAGCCATATACAATATAAAAGAATGCAATAATGGTTTTTGTTAATAATTACTAATTAGTGTATACCAAAAAAATTATTATTTGAAAAAAAACAAAAATTTAGCAATGGGATTTTTTTATGTAAAGCATGGGCTTTTAATCGATAGTTTGGGCCTCCAGTTATTGTAGTTTCCCGCGGGAGCCCAAACGACTGCTAATGAGTTATTTCTTTGGGCTTAGCTAGAATCAACCGCTCT